GAAAGAACTCAACGGCAGTAAGTTGAGTTTGGAGTTTTATACCACATCAACATTGACTGTAACAAATAGTCAAATGACAAAATCTAGAAGAAAATATCTATCATAAAGCAGATAGAAGGGGCAGGATTAAGAAAAATTACCTAAACTCTGCTTTAGGAAAATTCCTATCTGAAAGCTCACAGATCTAAGGCCCATCCCACAGGGAGAAAAAGGCAGTTGTTCCTTTACTTCAGTGAAGTACTATAGGTGCTGCGATTCCTGACCTTCTACATCTTGGCAGAAGCTGTTTTAAAAAAGAAGAGAATAACAAAAATACCAAAAGAATAAGTGGTAGTGGTGTGTCAGGAAAGAAGGACAGAAGGAAAAGTACTGACAATAGCACAATGTAACCTACCATCACCAGTAGAGCATGGAGGCCAAGCCAGAGGATGATAAACAAAGATAAGGACCATGAGAAAACCCAACACCCAACAGCAAAATTAAACCTATGGAAAACTGAAGCAGTGAAAAAAAATTATATATTATATATATATATATATATATATAAAATTATAGAAGATTTGAATAGTAACAATAAGATAGATTTCATAGATCAGATTTTATATACACATACACCTGATTTATGAGAGCCCACGGTACATTTATAAAAACTGCCCATCTATGTCAGGTCACAAAGAAAATCTAATAAGCAGAAACAGTAAATGTCACATTCTCTGATTACAGTACAGTAAAACTAGAAATTTCTACAAACTCAACACACACTATGACTTATAGTAGTATCAACTAATTCCAAAATCTGATAACCTTGGATATACATGTTACATCTATAGATTTATTTTATGGAAATAACTGGACAAGTCACAAAGATAGCTGAGGATAGGCATCTCATCACCATAATTTTGTGAAAAATTAGGATCAGACTGAATGCTAACCAGTAAGGGACTGGCAGAATAAAGGCATACCCAAATTAAGGAATACTACAGCTGTTGTCTCGGAAGGAAGGTTGGGCAATCCTACTTCCGTAGTGATACTGCCTCGGAAACCCAAGGAGGGGTCGCTATGAGTCGGGGCCGACTCCACGGCACATAACAACAACAACAACAACAACAGCTGTTGTAGGTATTTACTGATTTGAGTGAAAAAAGCAAATCCCTACCCAACCCCCCCAAAAAAGGGACTCAACTTGAAGGTAGTTCATCAAAATGTTAATAGATTTTTACTTTATTTTCATTCTTATACTTATTGTTAAATTATTTTTACATGTATTTTTTATAACCAGGAAACCATTAAAGCTTTATTTTATTTTATTTTAAGGAGTTGAAAAAAGAGGAAAGCTTTCAAAAGTTCAAAGTTCTCAACACAGCATTAAGGGCAGTAATAAAAATAACAAAAGACAATACAAGCACTCAATAAAAGGAAGCATAGCCTCTGTGTTTGGTACTGGTGTTCTTTTTATTGTGATTTGGGTGAAAGCAGACCAAATTCATTTTCCATTCAACAGTTCATACACATTTATTTCATGACACCGATTATAATCTCCACAATGTAACGGCTCTCTTCCCACTTCTTCCCTGTGGTTACCTTTCCTCTGTCCTTCTTTCCTATACTAGGTGTTTTAAACTGGCTATCTTACACCAGCTATTCTCATTTCCTGTCCACTTCCCCTCCTATATGTTATTTTATGCTTCATTTGCACAGTTCAGCCCTCAAAGCCCCTTCTCTGTATCTCCTCTGTTGGAGATGCCCTCACCCTTCAAGACTCCTTTTCCTCCTTTACCTAGCCTACCAACTTCTCCCAATCTTCCTTTCCTCTGGGTTTCTAAACCTTTTAGAACACTTATTCTGTTCTATTCTATGTACTGTTTACATAGTGTTGTTACCAGGCAACTGGTTTTGAAAATTTATTGTAAAAAACATGTTTGTATCCTCTTAAAAACTGAGCAAAAGGGGGAAAAACAAGAGTATAGTGGGAGGGGGCCGGATATATAGGCATAAACAAAAATCTGAAACTGTATGTCATCATTACTTGGCTTTAATTAATCATTAGTCTAAAAGCTAGATGGTAAGATTTCTTCCTCCCCAATCCCAGGCTACACTCCAATTAAGGCAGAGTGATTTCTCTTTTTGGAAAGCAGAGAAGGTAACAATACGAGGAACCAGAGCACTCCAACTACAGTCTTAAGTGACAAGAATGAAATGAAGATAAGCCCATATCTGTGTCTTCACTTTTTCTTTATGTCTCGTAATAGTACAAAATAGAAGTATTAGAGGTAAAATGAATGCAACAAATACCCACATCTTAAAGATAAACAAGTTGAGAACTAAAGAGATGAAATAATTTACTGAATTTCCTGAGAGGGCTGAACTACCTACCACATAGGTATACTAAGAAACTGGCCCTCCAAACTGCTGGTCCAGTAAACGAGGCCTTCCCAATACCTACTAATCAAAACTTAAGAGGTTTATTATTAGGTATTTCTAAGTGATAGGCTCAACTTGATTTGTCACCATTTATGTTAGTGGGCAAATTGGAAGAAAATAATGTTTCATTCTTCAGTAACAGTACATAAAATCTTTAAAATCATTCAGTCATACCTTACCTACATCTAAACATTTCGCTGTTAGGAACAAAAGTACTTTTTCATTACTAAGTAGAAACAAATGCTACAGATACTTGTTTTTAAAAAATAGTAAAACAAATCAAGGAATGGAGGCTTGGAGAAATTAAACAATTTGCCTAGAGTCACACAGTAAGTAGCAGGATTGGGATAATCCCTCCTGCCAAGCAACAAAAGACAGCTTTAGGGCAAATAAAGAAACCAGGGCTTCCAACGAGGTCATTCTGCAGAGAATTCACCTTTCCATCCCTCGGAAGGAAGGTTGGGCAATCCTACTTCTGTAGTGATACTGCCTCGGAAACCCAAGGAGGGGTCGCTATGAGTCGGGGCTGACTCGATGGCAAATAACAACAACAACAACAACAATCTCCAGATATACTGAATCAGAATCTACAGTTCAACCTGATTCATCTGCAGATTTTGTTAAACTGTAGATTCTGATTCAGTATACCTGGGGTGGAAAGGTGAGTTCTCAGCAAGGGGTCTCAGTATGAACCCCTGAATAAAGTTATTTCCCTGTAGCACTTCTGTAATTTAACATACTCAGGGTGACTACAAACAAAAACTACATTAGACTTTTGGGACAAGTTTGTACTCAAAGCAAAAACAAAGAGGAAAAAAAACTCAACTAAAATACTAACAAGTTTTTTAAAATGTTTAATTTAAGGTACCAAATTCCCTCCTCTACATTTCATTACACATTCTGAAAATCTTGTTATGAATATTCTCAGTGAAAGGTACATCAAATATTCCAATAATGCAATTGTAAAAGAGTAATTCAGAAAAATGAGAGAGAAATCAAGAGATAAGAAAGTAGAAAACGGAAAAATGTCATAACTTGGATAATGCAGTCTTAAGTACTTAAACCCAAAAGCATTAAACAATCTTCATAGGCTGGTAAAATGATTACCACTTTCTGATTTAAAAAATTAAGCAAAAACAAACAACTCCAGAATGGTCAAGGCACAACCTTCATTTGTGTCATTACATGAAATGATATATACCAGGCATGTAGTAAACAATACAAGGAGTTTTTATCTTTCTTTTCTTTTAATCAGGAAGAAGTTGGAAGGGTTTTAGCTTTCACTCCTTAAATAAAATCTCACCATCTTATTTTTTTACTCTGGCACATTAGACTTTTTTTTTTTTTTTTTTTCATTTTAAAGATTAAGCAACAGCTAGCTAGAGAAGGAGAAAAATCTACATTTCAGTATACTTACAGCGTGCTATGAGCTGGAATTGACCCCGGGGCAACAGGTTATTTATTGCCTAAATTACCTGACACTGCTTTTGTAAGATTCATTTTTCATTGTTAGTACATGCAGTTTTAAAAGCTGATTTAAAATACAATTATGGCCAACACCAATAATCCAAATAACCAAGGTCCTAAAGATTTACTATCTGACCATCCTGTACTGAGAAAACGTCATCTTTTGGGATATGGGATTCTCATCGGTACAATTTTACAAAAAAAAAATCATTGAAGGCTTTCAAACCTTCCCCAATACCACTTACTTAGTATCATCACTGTCCTGCTACTAATACTTAACTAGGCAACAACAAAATAACTTACTGAATAACGATGAAAACTGCTATTTTTTTTTCGCCTTCTATATTTCTCTGAATGCGCAAGGAACATGAAATGTAGACAGAGATGACAGGGCAGCCAACTTTTTTTTTGAGGGGTGGGGGGAGCGGACAGAAGTTCCGGTTGTTTGGAAGCAATCGATCAAACTTCAACAACGTGCTCCTTTTCTGACACTTGGTAGTCGCAAACAGAACCAGCACCTCCCCAGACCTAGTTTCTTCTCCTTCCTGGGCCCTCCAGCAGTCAGAAGCTTTACTCCCTGACTCAACAGTCATCTCGGCTGGTCCTTGGGAAAAAGCCGCCTGTCACTCTCAGGTTTCCCCCAAAGACCCAAATTAGCCTTCACCTAGCCGGGCTGCGAGGCCTCCTGGCGCAGCCCCGGGGAAATGGAGAGGAAAAGTGAACTGGCTGACAATCGATGTAATTCCTCCGCCGACGAAGCGCCAATTCATCCCCACCTCCGCAGGCAGCCAGGGTGGCCATGGCGTGACGCCGCCGACCGGTCCTCTATACTAACAGGTATCCCCACGTCCTCGCCTTTCCATGTTTAACCTTCTCGTGCCTTGATTCCCATTCGCACCATTCTAGGGGCCAGAAAACAAGTGAGCAGTTGTGTGAAGAGAAAAGGAGGAAGGCCATGCCGTCCGAGGGAAGGGCCCCGGAAAAGGCAGACTACTGAAGACCATTGCCGCAGTTTCTCGAGGCCAGGGGAGGCGCAGCCGTCTAGGCCACGAAGCCGGGGCCTCGCCTGGCGAGCAGCGCTGAGCAGAACAAGGCCTGCCGTACATACTCACCAAATCTGGAATTTTAGAAGCGGCCCCGAGGCGTACTGCATCTTTAATCTCTTGTTGGGCACGCCGCCCAGGTTGGCCGAGGCCTCGCTCCGGACCACCGCCGACGCCGCCATCAGAAGAAGCAGCAAAAGCCTCATCTTAAACGAGCCAGGCACTCTGGCCGCCCTCACACTAAGACTGCAGCCAGCCGAAGGCCGAGCCGGAGCCGCGAGCTGCTCCTCACTGCGCAGGCGCAACCTGACAAGGTCGGGCAGGGAAGAAGAAGTGCGCCTGCGTGGCCCGGCGCCCCAGCCTTGGGAAAAAGAATTGATCTATTTCACTGTCCAGACCCACCATTTTGTATCTGTGCGGAGACTCTCTGGAAGGGAGTCAAAGAATAGGGAGGGAATGAAAGAGCAGGTGAAATGTCAGGAACCTATAAATTATAGCCCCCGGCAGATTTGGGTTCTATATTCATTTCATTAATTCAGACATTTTTCTGCCTGAGACACTTAAGAACATCTACTCTTGACAGTTTTGTTTCAGGTGTAGTCGAAGATGGAAGAGTAACCTCAGCTCTCTGAAAGGTAATTCCCAACTCTTTTGCGTACGTACATGCTATGGTTTTTCTTTGACCTTACAATATTTGTGTCGCCCAAAATATTATTTTAAAAAGAAAACCCTTTGGAAAATTCAAAACATTAAAAAAAAAAAAAAATAGAACACCCCTTTATCGAGGGCTTTAACAATTACTGGTATTTTAACAGTTTGAATTTGTCTATACCTCTGTTTCTTCCGTCTCAAAGAACTATTTTGAAGCAAATCTTAGCCTATCATTTCATATGTAAATGTTAACACGTTTCTCTAAAAATAGATACTCTTTTTTTTTTAATGACCACAATACCATTATCCCACCTTTGAAAACCAGTATTTGCTTAATATCAAATATGCACTTCGTGTTCCAATTTCTCCTATTGTCTTATATTTATTTTCCTAGTGTTCATTTGTTCAAATTAGGATCAAAATGAAATGTACACATTGCCATTGATTAATACGTCTTTTACTTTCTGTCAAAGTCTTTTTAAGACCAGGAACATACCTTCCGTTAAAGAAATTGGGTTTATTACTCCTTGCAGCGGGGAAGAACACACACCTTGGAGAACCACACACCATGGGGAACCACAGGAAGTCTCAGCAAGAGAATGACAGAATCTCTTATAGTATCTGGGCTTTGATTGGGGGATTTGGGGAAAGAGGCTGTGGAAAGGAATCCCTGGGTAGTGCAAACATTTTCCACAGCTAACCTGAAGGTTGGAGGCTCAAGTCCACCAAGAGGCACCTTAGAAGAAAGGCCTGGCAATCTACTTCTGAAAAATCAGCCATTGAAAACCTTATGGAGCACGTGATACCACCATGAGTCAAAATCTGCTTCACTTGGCAATTGGTTTGGTGCTGTCAGAAAGCCTGGACAATTCATTGATTATCTGAAAGAGAGACTAGAACAAATAAAAAGCTATAATTTGTAAAGAAGCAACAATTCCTTATTCTGGCAAAGAGAAGTGTTTGGTATTTTGTGGGTAACACAGTGACCGTGTTGATTTTTTTCCTGTGCTTAGACAAAATTAAATATTTGTATGCTCCTCTGGGTCCTTTTCTCTTGCAATTCATTTGCCAAGAAATCTGTCTTTGTCCTATGAAATCTCCTACAGTTTGGACTTTGCTGATTACTTTTGCTTTAATATGTATCTCTGTCCCATGTGTTTCTGTTAATTGGTAGTTAGATCTAGAGGCCTGAACACTTTTTCTTATTTTTGACCAAATTATATAAGGCTTTTTTATCTTCATAACATTCAAAAACTCAACGTGAATACAATAACAGACACAGAAAGATTATAGCCATTTTGGCATAAGTCATGCCAATGATACATTACAAGTTACTTTAGGTGATAAATTGGCACCAACATCATTATAAATAAACAGTAAAACTTTGGCACTAACATGGTATGATAGTAGGTCCTCATTCAGCTTTCCAAAAATATGATCATGTTAATTTCCCCTTACATTATCACAGAAATGAACAACAAAATTTGAAAATTCTATGAGAGAAGTTGAAGATCTGTGAGACTGTCTAGTGTCTACTGACTGTAATATCAGTTTTTGTTATTGGAAGCTCTGGTGGCATAGTGCTTAAGGCATTTGACTGCTATCCAGAAGGCTAGTGGTTCAAACCCACCAGCCACTCCTCAGAAGGCAAGTTGGCCAATCTACTTCCATAGTGATACCCCTTCAGAAACCCAAGGAGAGGTCACTATAAGTCAGATCTGACTCAACGGCAATGTGTTTTTTTTTTTTTTTTTTTTAATTCTTAGACATTCAAATACTGTAACTTTTTTGTTATAATGATCTTTATTTCAGTATTGGCATAAATCTGAATTCTAGTTTATTTACATCTTGAGATGTACCCAAAAAGTTATATACTACATCAGAATTTTACCAAAAGTCCAAAAAAACTGAACTTCTGTTGAATATGTTCTCAACACTTCCATGTTGAAAACCCTGTGTCATAGCTGGTTGTTTTAATTCCTATTCCCTGAGATTACTAGGGTTAAGAATCTTTTCTTACCTTTATTAATTATTAGTACTTAACTCAGAGCTAATTTGGAATCCAGTCTACTCCAAAATCTATGAAAAGTCATTTTTAAAAGGGATGGGTTCTATTAAGTGATTAAAGGAAAGAAAAATTTGGAGGTGGATAGTAGTGATAGTTACACAACATGGTGAGTGTAATTGAAATCATTAATGGTAAAATGGTTGAAATTGCAAATATTTTATTAAACATATTTTACCACGATACAATTTTTTAAGGAGGGACAAATAGGTTATGTGTCAGTGGACATTAAAAAAATAAGGGAAGGGAGAGGACCCTGGGAGTAAGAGAAGAAAGGGTGGGGAAGAGAGGATCCCAAATCCACTTCCCAGCCATTCACTGATAGTTTGAACACTTCTCTTCCCTGAGAACTAAATTCCTTTGAACTGCCACTCCACGTTCCCCCAAGACACTGATTCATTATTCTTGGGACATGACTTCAAGATAATTGATTTCAATATTGTCATGTTGTCCTAGTTCCTCAATGGGAACTCTGGTAGCATAGTGCCTAAGGCACTTGACTGCTAACCAGCTGGTGGTTCAAACCCACCAGCCACTCCTTGGAAGGAATATGGGGCAATCTACTTCCTTAGTGATACTGCCTCGGAAACCCAAGGAGGGGTGACTATGAGTTGGGTTCAATTCGACAGCACATAACAACAACAGTTCCTCAATAGGAGTTCTGGTAGCATAGTGCCAAAGGCATTTGACTGCTAACCAGAAGACTGGCAGTTCAAACCCACCAGTCATTCCTCAGAAGGAAGGCTGGGCAATCTACTTCCGTAGTGATACCACCTCAGCCAAGGAGGGGTCAGTATGAGTCAGGATGGACTCCATAGCAGTGTGTTTGTTTGGTTTTTGGTTTAGTTCCTCAATGCAGTCAACACCCATGGAAGCAGCAGTCAAGAAATCAGACGTCTGTATTGCACTGGGCATATTGATGCAAAAGACCTCTTTAAAATGTTAAGGAGCAAAGATGTCACTTTGAAGACTAAGGTGCACTCAACCCAAGCCATGGTATTTTCAGTAGCCTCATATGCATGTGAAAGCTGCACAATGAATAAGGAAAACCAAACAAAGTTGATACCTTTGAATTGTGGTGTTGGTGAAGAACAGTGAAAATACCATGGACTGCCAGAAGAATGAACAAATCTGTCCTGGAAGAAGTGCAGCTGGAATGTTCCTTCTTCTTGTTATGTGCTGTCAAGTCGTCTCCAACTCATAGCGACCCCTCCTTGGGTTCCTGAGGCAGTATCACTATGGAAGTAGATTGCCCAATCTTCCTTCCGAGGAGTGGCTGGTGGATTTGAACTGCCAGCCTTCTGATTAGCAGCCCAAGTGCCCTTAGGCACTACATCACTGGAGCTCCCTGGAATGTTCCTTAGAAGCAAGAACGGCCCGTCTTCATCTCACCTACTATGGTCATGTTTGGGACCAGGCCCTGAAGAAGGATATCATGCTTGGTAAAGTGGAGTAAAGTGGAAGATCAGCAAAAAAGGGGAAGAGATGGATTGACACCATGGCTGCAACAATAGGCTCAAGCATAGCAGGTTTGGGGGGCCGGTGCAGGACTGGTCAGTGTTTTGTTCTGTTGTATATAGGGTTGCTATGAGCCAGAGCTGACTTGATGGCACCTGACAACAGTGACAACAGTTCCTCAATTGTCTTCCCTGGAGAGACTCAAGCTAGAACAGAGGACCCTTAGTACTGGGTCCTCTTTCAGGTGTAACAGCATGTGGTCTACAAAGTAGAGGAAGCATTGGCAAATTTGGTCATACGTTTTTTTTGTGTTTGTTTTTCATGTTTACAATTTTTTTTAATCAGTGAACACAAGCATAAAACTATGATTTAAAAATACACAGCACTGAGCATTCAGACACAATTTAGTTTAAAAGTGTACTTTCAAATGAAGTCCTTGGAAAACACCCCATGGTAAGGTCTATCAAACAAGGAAGTGATCACAACTTGTCATCTGGAATGCAATGGCTCTGTCAACTGTCAATACTTTAAATATATTTTCTTCTTGTTAAAAAGAAAAAAAAAAGGCTTGCATTTATTTCCAACTATATGAATTTTGAAAAGAAAGAATCCTTAAATAGACATCAGTCTCCTTTTCTCTCAAAATAATGTACAATCTCAAATGTTTTTAATATTCTCTGAGCACCTTTCAAAAATTTTAAAAGATAACTTCAGCCATCCCACCCTCTTTCATTTGTACTCTGGCTTTATTGAACCAAACCACACTCATTGCTGTTGAGTCAATTCTGACTCACAGGGACCCTGTAGAACAGAGTAGAACTGCCCCATAGGGTTTTGGTTTTTTGGGTTTTTTTTAAATGCATTTTATTGAAATATAATTTATGTACAGTGAAATAAACAAAACTAAAGTGACATGGGTCAATGCCTTTTTTTTTTTTTTTT